TCAAAGAACTCAAACTATACCTCCCATTTGATCCTGCAATCCAATTACTGGACATATACCCAGAAGGAAAAGAATCATTTATCATAAGGACACTTGCACTAGACTGTTTATCGCAGCTCAATTTACAATTGCCAACAGTGTAAATGCCCACCAGCCCAAGAATGGATTAACAAGCTGTGGTATATGTGTACTGTGGAATACTATTCATCACTGAAAAAGATGGAGGATAATCTTTTGTTAACCTGGATGGAAGTGGAACACATTCTTCTTAGTAAAGCATCGCAAGAATGGAGAAGAATCCAATGTACTCTATTCTAGTATGAAGGCAGCAGATGAACTAATATAAGGGTGGGGGGAGTAGGGGAATGAACAAGTGGGGAGAGGGGAGGAGGGTGGGAGCTGGGGGGTCATGGTGTATGACCCTTTAGGGCGGGGCACAATTATAAGAGGGACTTTACCTAATAAATGCAATCAGGGTAACCTAATTCTTTATTGTACCATCAGTGAATCCCAAACAATAAAAAAATAAATAAATAAATAATTGTATCTTAATGATAAAAAGAACTCAACACTCAATAAGAAAACAGTTAACAATAAAAATGGGCAATTTATTTTGACATGCCATCAAAGATGATATGCCAAGGGCACATATCACATACTTTATGCCCAACATCATTAGGCATCATGGAAATGCAAGTTAAAACCACAATGAGGTATCAGTCATGCTAATTAGAATAACTAATAAATAAATTAAAGAAGTAAATAAATAAATAAAAGAATAAATTAAAAAGACTGATCATACTAAGTATTTGTAAACAACTGGAACTTTCATATTTGGCTGGTGGCAGTGTAAAATAGTATAACCAAATTGGAAAACAGTTTGGCAAGGCTTTTTTTTCTTTGTCATGGCATATATACATAATAATATTTCCCATTTTAACAATTTTTTCTTTTATCCTTGTTTTCCTTTTGCATATCAGATGGCCATTTTAACCATTTTTAAGTGTACAGTTCAATGACATTAAGTACATTCACACCATCATGTAGTCATCACCACTATCCATCTGCAGAACTTTCTTCATCTTGCAAAGCTGAAACTCTTACAGTAATGTTTTCTTTCCTCCTCACATTTCCCTGGCAACCACCATTCTACATTCTGTCTTTATGAATTTGACTCCTCTAGGTATCTCTTACGTGTGGATTTGTCCACTTATAAGTATTTGTCCTTTTGTGACTGGCTTATTTCACTTAGCATGTCTTCAAAGTTCATCCGTACATCATGTGTCAGAATTTCCTTTCTTTTTAAGGTTGAATACTTTAATACCATAGTAATAATATATAATACCATATTTTGGTTTTCCATTTATCCATCAATGAACACTTGGGTTGTTTCCACCTGTTGACTACTATGAATAATGCTGCTATGAACATGGGTGTACAAATATTTCTTTGGGTTTCTGTTTTCATTTTGGGGGAGTATATACCCAGAAGTGGAATTGCTAGATCATATGATAATTACACTTCCATTTTTTTTGAGGAAACATCATTTTGTTTTCCATAGATGCTATACAATTTTGCATTCCCACCAGCAGTGCACAAGGGTTCCAATTTCCCCACATCCTCCCCTAAACTTATTTTGTTTTTTATTTTTAGTAATAGCTATCCTAATGGGCATGAAGTGATATCTCACAGTAGCTTTGATTTGCATTTCCCTAAAGACCAGTGATGTTCACCATCTTTTCATGTGCTTATTGCCATTCTTTCATCTTCTTTGGAGAAATGTCTATTTAAGTCATTTTCTTACTTTTTTAAATTGTTTTTTTGTTGTGTTGTTACTGACTTACAGAAGTTCTTTACATATTCTATATCTTACTCCCTCGTCATATATATTTCTCCCATTCCATGTGTTGTCTCTTCACTTTGTTGAAAGTATCCTCTGATGTGCGAAAGTTTTAATTTTGATACAGTTAATTTATCTATTTTTCTTTTTTCTTCTTCTTTTCACATATGTAGTATAGGATCTATCCATTTCACTCTTCAGTACTTACTTGAGAGAAATGAAAGCATATATTCAAAGACTTACATGCAAATGTTCACAGCCATTTTTGTTTGTTTGTTTGTTTGTTTCTGAGTCAGAGTCTCACTTTGTTGCACTGGGTAGAGTGCTGTGGCATCATAGCTTACAGCAACTTCAAACTCATGGGCTCAGAGATCCTCTTGCTTCAGCCTCCCGAGTAGCTGGGACTATAGGCGCCCACCACAATGTCTAGCTAAGTTTTTTAATTTTAATAGAGATGGAGTCTCGCTCTTGCTCAGGCTGGTCTTGAACTCCTGGAAACTAGCAATTTTAAAACATTGTTTGAGAACCCCTGAGATAGAGAAAAAGTAGAAGGCTTTTTCTTAGACTCTAGGCTAAGAAGGCACTGATTTCAGGATAAGTTTGACCGACTTTATTGGGCAGGAAGTGGTGAGCCACTGAAAATCTCCATCAGGAAAGAGTAATGAAAATGCTTCTATAACACTGACCTGTAACTAGCATACAAATAAATTACAATCAAACAGCAGGAGGCAAAGTGGCCACTGATTTCAAACTTCAGATAGTCCAGTACCATCCTGATGACTTTTACTGTATCTGAATTCTGCTTCAACTATTATTGTTTTCTTTAAATCCACATACTTCAAAAAAAAAAAAAACTTAAATATTTACTTCAGCCTCACCCTAATAAATAATAAGGGATATTTGCTGTGCTAGCCATATGTTCCCCAATACACATTAAAATAAAAACGTATATATAGGGGCTGGGTCTGTGGGCTCATGCCTATAATCCTAGCTGAGGCTGGTAGATTGTTTGAGCTCAAGAGTTAAAGTCCAGCCTGACCAAGAGCTACACCCCCATCTCTACTAAAAATAGAAAAACTAGCCAGGTGTCATGGCGGGTGCCTGCAGTCTCAGCTACTCAGGAGGCTGAGGTAAGAGGATTGCTCAAGTCTAGGAGTTTGAGGTTGTTGTGAGTTATGATGCCACAGCACTCTACCCAGGGCAATGGAGTGAGCATCTGTCTCAAAACAACAATAACTACAACCAAACAAAAAATAGGTTATTAACATTTTAAAAGCTTGTCTATATCCCACTTAATGTCACCATTGTAAATGCATACCTTGGGAAGACACTGAACCATGTTACACAGCATTTTTAACTATGACTCATCATCTGGGAAGATGTCATCAAATCTTACTTTCTGTAGTTTACATGCTGACAAAATAGGCATTTTCCCTAACAATAAAATAATATTCCTTAAGCTTCTTAAAACTTAACCCCCAAAATTCTGGTATCTCTTCAGTAAATAGGTATAGTCCTACAGGGGCTCCCTCACCTCCAGTTGAAAAAAACCACTAAGCATGTTATTGCAATTGTACAGAGGGAATTCAGGGGCAGAATAGCAGTGTGGAGGGAAGAGACAGGAGTGATGAGGGCAGTTTTTTGTTGTTTTTTAGAGTCTCACTATGTTGCCCTCAGTAGAGCGCTGTGGCGTCACAGCTCACAGCAATCTCAAACTCTTGGGCTCATGTGATTCTCTTGCCTCAGCCTCCCAAGTAACGGGGACTACAGGTGCCTGCCACAACACCTGGCTATTTTTTGTTGCAGTTGTCATTGTAGTTTAGCAGGCCCAGGCCAGGCTTGAACCAACCACCTTAGGTGTATGTGGCTAGCACCCTACTCGCTGAGCTACAGGCACCACCCATGGGGGAGTGACTGAAAGGAATATGATTGCAACTTCAGAGCTGCTTGTACATATACATTAGAGGAGGACAGTCAAGACTATGGCCATGGCTAAATCTTGCCCACTGTTTCTATAAAATAAAGTTTTATTGGAACACAGCCATGTTCATTTACTTACATATTGTCTAAAGCTAGTTTTGTACTACAATAGCAGAGGTGAGTAGTTGTGACCAAAATCTTATGGTCCTCAAAGCCTAAAATATTTACTATCTGGTCCTTTTCAGAAAAAGTTTACTGAACCCTAAAAACAGTGATGCCACACACAGAAGTAGCAAGATAAAAGGGAGTTGTGCTGTGGGTAAGACAATCAACCTCAAATTGGATTTGCGGTTGAGGGATAAAATTTATATAAAAACATCCAACTTAGATATTAGAAACATGTCACTAGTTCAGAGTGACATCTTTTTAAAGATAATAGTTTCTCTTTATTTCCAAATAGGATTTGAAATGGCGAGAGATAAGTATTCAGTTAGAATGGATGCAGTTATCAAGGTAAAGTGTGTTGACTTCTTAGTGTTCTTCAAGTGTCTTACACTTCAAGTGTAAAGTGTGTTGACAGCTTTACATTTTCAACAGAAAAGATATTCACCAAGAAGAAAAAAGTAGTTTTTCTTTTCCTCCTAAAGCAATATAGAACGAAAATATGAAAAAGAGAGGGAAGTAAGTGGCTAAAGGTCAAATTGGCTGATCTCCAATTCAGGTGACACTCATTCCTGAATGAGAAAACGTGGAAGTCCAATCCTTCAGGTTTAACATCTAAGCTTTGCCTAAGCCCTGCTGTACAGAGACGTAGTGTTACTTCAGTTCTCTAAATGTTGGCTCAATTTTTTCCAATAACTTCTTGCCTTATGCTGCCTTACCTACTCAATCCGTTGGCTAATGAGATGACCATTTCAACAGGTGATGTGGCCTAGAGAAAGAGCAGTAGACAGGGATGAGGAATCTGAGCGTCAAGAACCTGCACTAGCCGACTACTCTTACGATTTGGGTAATACTAACAACTGACATTTACATAACACATTACAGTTTCACGTATTTTATCTCATGTGGCTCTTACCACAAACATGTAAGGTACAGAGGGCAGGAATCATTATTTCCCTTTTATAAATGAGGACAATGAAGCTGAGTGGAGGTAATTTACTCATACAACATCACATAACCAGAACCAGGACCCTGGGGTCTTCTAATAATTTCTCATTTTCTACCACATTATCTTGTCTTTCTTTGACCAAAATCTATAGCAGTGGGAAGCAAACCTTGTTGGTTTGGAAACCTAAGCATGCATTTATAAAAGTGATCATATAATATGATCAGAAAGGCAACATTGTCAATAAACTTAACCACATATTCTCTTCTTCTTCTTCTTTTTCTTTTTAAGAGGCAGAATTTCTTTCTGTTGCCCACGCTGGAGTGCAGTGGCAAAATCACAGCTCACTACAACTTTGAACTCCTGAACATTTTCTTACCTTCTATTTAGGAGGAAGCAGAAAAGAAAGTCTAAAGATGACATAAGAAATATGCCCTGAAATATTTGTTATTCTGGCCCTCTGAACCTAGCGTTAAACCTTGAAATGGGTTTTTCTTTTCTGCCTTAACTGCAAAAAGTCGGTTGTCTCATGCTGCCTCTTACTATGGCTTCCTTAAGACAGACTTTTATATATAATTTGAATGCTCATAGGCTGAATCTGACTAGTACACATTTTTTTGCCATTTAAAAAAAAATTGAGCCATTATTTTAAAATTAGAAGTTTCACATAAATATCTAGATTTCAGACTTTCTTCGAAAGCTCAGAATACTTGTCAACCCTGGCCCTATGTTGCCACAAGCAACAGACAGCCAGGGCAGAAGGGTGGCTGTCCCTGGAGGGAAGAGGATTCTCCTGTTTGCCAGTTGCCACCTCTCCTTATTGGCTCCTGGACATAGAGGCAGCACAGTAGTTGCCATTTGTCATTGCTCTTGTGTTGTTTTTCTTATTATACAAGGTCTCTGTATCCATCTTTCTCTTTCAAAAGTGAAAAGCTGACAACGAGGGATGTGATTTTCCTGGCCCACACCATTCATTTCCTGTATTTCATCTGATGTAAAGCACCACTGATCATAAGACCCTGCTATTTTATACACCCTTCATGAGCAGTTGTAATGTGTGTACTCTAATTTCAGAGATGTTGAAATGCCAAAAGAAATGTGCGTCTCTGAATCGGTGAAATGAAAAGCATGTTACCTATTTGGCTTCTGGAGGCATTTGAGTGAGTGAACTTGCTTTGTTCCAACGTGTATGACATCACATAGTAACACTTTAACATAAGGCCTTACTCTTTAGTTCACTTACTTTGAGCTACTTGCTTATCATCAGCCACTTTTTTTTTCTTTGTAACAGCCATAGCTGGGGTTACAATTTTATTAGCAATCAACCCAGCCTTACACACCACCTTCTCTCTGCCAGCCTTGGTTTAGCTTTCCAGGCTTCTCTACCAGGACCCACAACTGCCAGTTAGACTTACCCAATCAATTGATGCCTGTTCCTTCTGCCAGACCTGCCCAATAGAATGCTGAAGCACATGATCAGCCCCAGATCAAGAGTGAGGAAGAAAAGTTCTGAAGGTGGGTCTCAGTCTTCCATTCTAAGAGGTGATGATGAAAATAATTAAGAACTGGAATAGCAGGAGGACCAACCAATCCGTATAGATGACAACTAGGCTGGAGCTAGGTTCTGAAGGTCCCCTGCTGTTTGAAG